GCTGAAAAGGCTGATCAAGAAAGGGAAAGAAATCAGGGCCGGCGGTTATGTTGTCCTTCAACAGCACTGGGATCCCATGCAAGTCCCCTAGGACTCCTAGGGGACTTGCATGGGATCCCAGTGCTGTTGAAGGACAACATAGCTACGAAAGATAAGTTGAGCACCACTGGTGGGTCCCATGCCCTGTTGGGGTCCGAGGTTGCACGTGATGCTCACGTGGTGGAGAGATTGAGGAATGCTGGTGCTGTGATTTTAGGGAAGGCGAGTCTTAGTGAGTGGAGTCATTTTAGGTCTTATGGCATTCCTAGTGGTTGGTGTGCTAGAGGAGGTCAAGCTGTGGTTAGTTTCTTTCCTTTTCCCTTTATGTTTTTGGTTCTGCATTTTATGTTCTCATTGTAGTTAGTAACTTGTTATAATCCTTAATAAATTTTTGACACTACTTATCCTCATAGTGCAAGATGTGCTCGTCGCGACTGCCCCCTTTGCGTTGTTAGTGGCCCAAACCAATGGTTTATAACTGTAGAACTGGATGAATGATGATACATCGCAATGAAGATTTTCTCGAGTTGTTTCTACCGTAGGCTTAAATTATTCAATTACTTCTAATCTTGATCGCTAAATGTATGAGCATGATAGAAAGTATTGGAAAACAAATTTATAAAGAGGAATCCTCAATGTTGAGCTCTCTTTCTTTTCTTTTTTCTTTTGTTTTTTAAATTTTCTTACCGATTCTTCTGTTTTGATATTTTAATTCAAGCATTCAAATTTTGTGCAATGATCAATTACCAAGTGTGACAATAATAGAAAATGCATCAATTTTTATGTGGGATGTGCAGAATCCATATGTGGAAGGGGGCGATCCATGTGGATCAAGCAGTGGATCAGCAATATCTGTAGCTGCAAACATGGTAGCAGTATCACTGGGGACTGAAACTGATGGCTCTATCCTCTGCCCTTCAGATCACAACTCAGTTGTTGGGCTCAAGCCAACTGTCGGACTCACCAGCCGCTCTGGTGTGATCCCAATTTCACCCCGCCAGGACTCAGTTGGGTGAGTAAACCAGCTAAACTAAGTATAGGTGTTAAGTATAGATTAGTTGACTGATCTTTAACTTGCCATTTATGGTTTGCAGATGTTTAACCGATGATTTTTCATTGAAATGAAAATGCAGGCCTATATGCAGGACAGTATCAGATGTTGTGTATTTACTTGACGCAATAGTTGGTTTTGACCCAAGAGATTGCGAAGCAACGAAAGAAGCATCCAAGTTTATCCCTGCAGATGGTTATAAAAAGTTTCTGAAAAAAGATGGTCTCAAAGGAAAGAGACTGGGAATAGTCAGATATCCATTTGAGATATATTTCAAGGATCCAGTGATTGTATCAACATTTGATCACCATCTGGAGGTATTGAGGTACGTATTGAACACGAGCAGAGATAGGTCCTGTAAACTTGGACACATTCACACACATCAATGTTGATACTCTAGTCGTGTTACAAAACTTTGCCCCTGGAAATTGTAGGCGAGGAGGTGCAACTGTGGTGGATAATCTTGAAATTGCAAACATTGATGTCATTATGGATTCCGATCAAAGTGGTGAAGATTTGGTGATGCTAGCTGAGTTCAAGGAAACCATCAATAAGTACTTAGAAGAGCTTGTCAAATCTCCTGTGAGATCACTGGCAGACATTATAGCTTTCAACACCAATAATCCTGAACTGGTTAGTTATTTCTGAATTTAGTGATTTTTTGCCAAGCAAAATGAAGTTGGCAGAGAAAGTTAACTCGCTCTCAATCAATTTACAAAATAATCCGGCACTCAATTTGTGCTTCCCTATCAATGAGGAGATTCCTGCATGTTTCTGCGTTTGATTTAATATATGGCATACATGCCATTGTCTGTTTCAGGAAAACCTGGACATATATGATCAGGTACTACTTATCAACTCGGAGAAGACAAATGGGCTCGGAGAGAAGGAGATGAAGGCAGTGAAGCATATGGAAAGTCTGTCACAAGAAGGATTTGAAAAAATGATGAAGGAGAATGGGTTAGATGCCATGGTGACACTTGGTGCTGCTGCTTCTACTGTGCTAGCTATTGGAGGTTACCCTGCAATTACAGTTCCTGCAGGGTATGGCAGCAGTGGAATGCCATTTGGTATCTGTTTTGGGGGATTGAAAGGCATGGAGACGAAGCTGATTGAGATTGCTTACTCTTTTGAGCAGGCTACATTGTGTCGCAAGCCTCCTTGTCCTTCTCCTAGTACTTGAGCCAAAAGTTGTCCCTCTACATTTTGAAATAAACATTTGCAACTGCATCACATGTCTTCAATCTTCTCTCTCCCTCTCTGATTTAGAGTCCAGCCAATATATTTGGCAGAACTGTAACTCGTCGGAACAAGAGAGATTGGAGGATTTCATTTAATTTTAGATGCCAAGCCAGTGTTTGTAAACAATTTTAGTCTAATATCAAGAAAGATACTTAGGACAGGTTCTTGTTGACATTGAACTGATGCTTCAGCGTGAATGCAATTTAGAAAGGGTGATCTCTGATTGTTTAGATTATCCTTGGCACAAAGGAAAAAAATATGTTGCTTTAAAATTTTGAGAACTCTTGTTATTCTCTGAATATAATCCAAAACAAAGAAAGAATTCATTTAAATTAAGGATTCGAAAAGCAATTTAAGTCCAGTTAAACTTAGGATTCCCAAGGATTTCCATCTCTCTCTCTCTCTCTTTCTAGACACACACACTTGCTGACATAAAGGACATAACTTTTGCATGAACATACACACACACACACTTGCTGATATTAAGGACATAACTTTTGCAGGCACATATATTTCTTTGTTGCCGAGTTTAATGTAATCTAAAAAACCTTAATAATTCAATTTTTAACTTTAAAATACCTTTTAATATGTTCTACAACTCAAAATCAAACATAATTTAATTCGTGCTAATCATTCTACATGTACTAATATTTTATTATTTCATACACCTAAAATTTTATTTTATTTTATAGTTTTTTAAGCTCTATTTGAGATTATGGATCTATCTCTATATCAATCCATACACATCTGTAAGCCCATAAAGTTACCAACATTTGTAACTCAATAAAGTTACCAAATTTTATCTATTCTTATTATTCTTCATCTTTTACTTTATTTTTAGCTTCTATTCATTATCTTTCTAAACTCTCTTTCTATAAAAAGACAATTCTTGATTTTATTTGGCAATAAATTATGAATGAGAAACCTTTTGCTTTGCATAAGTTAAATACTTGAGATTTGGTTCCTCTACCTCCTAGTAAAAGTATTGCTGATTGTCCTTAAGTGTATAAGATCAAGATTAATTCTGATGGATCCATTGAGCGATACAAAGTTAGACTGATTTTAAAATGATACTCTCAATAATATGATATGAATTATGAGGAGACATTTGTTTCTATTATAAAAATGATTACTATTCATACTTTTATTATAATAGCTTCAGTTCGTCAATGACATATCTTTCAACTTGATGTTAAAAATATTTTTTTGAATGGAGATCTTCATGAAGAAGTTTATATAGCGCCCCTTCTTGGTATTTCTCATGACTCTGAAATTTGAAGAATAGGAGACTCCAGTGAAAAATACGGGTAATATATATGAAGACTTTGAAATTTGTTTCAAAATCTCATTTTCATCCCCTATTTTGCTATTAGGTGACGAATACCTATAATTTTAACAAAATACATTTCGATGCCAAATTTTTTTTTGTAATCATTTTTTAAGTGAAGGAGAGAGAAGAGGTCGTTCGATTCTAATTTAGAGAGACAATTATTGTTGAGAAAGATTTAGGCCACCAAAACAGTTTCTATTTATGTAAAAAGATTACATATAATGAGAGGGAGTTAAGATTACTTGTTTAAACTTGAAAACACCTAAAAAAATATATTTGAGCTTGAAAATTTTTTTAGTTCGGATTGATTTCGGGTTTTGGCGTAATTTTTTATTTTATTCTTGGAGGTCATGTATTGGTATGATAGGGTTTCTAGAGTGTTTTATAGGTATTTTTGATAAAAAAAAATAGATTTAAAATTTTTTTTAAGATAAAAAAAAAAACCTTATTTTTCTTGTCATAACAACGGCTAGATTTTAAGATTTATAAAAGACATATCATTTGCTAAGACAAACAATACATCATCATTTTTATTTTGACAAAAAAGAGAGTAGATAAAATCTACCCCTTTACTTAAAAAAAAAAGTCTACATATATGAACTTAGACTTGCAAGCCTGCGAGTGGGGTTTTTTTTTATGGGCCAAGTGCTAAGCTTGGTTTACCAAGCCCACAATGTCTTGTCTCATTTTTTTTAATATTTTTTTAAATTAGTACTTTTTATATATGTTTTTCAAAATAATTTTTACATTTGTGTTTTGATTAATAACTCTTTTTGTGGTTTTTTTTGGCTTATTTAACCTTTTTGAAATAACAATTATTTTTTAATTATATAGAGTGTGTTTAATTTTTTTATGAGATTATTGTAGTTCATTTATAATTATTTTTTATTTTTTATATAGACTAAAATTATTTTTTAAAATAAAAAATTTAATTTTTTACTAAATTTTTAATATATGCAGCATTGTGTGTATATATATTTTTATTTATTTAATAAATTTTATGTGCATATTGATTTATATTACAAATTGATTTTTATAAATAAATTCATTAAATACAATTAAGTAAATGATCTATAATTTTTTAATTTTAATTTTAATTTTTATTAATGATTTTATTTTATTTATTTATTTATTTAAATGGTTATTGATTTATTTAATTAGATATTTGAAAGATTTTTTTTATTTTTATTTTGATTTTTTGTTTTGAAAATAACCTATATATCTGGAGGTTTTTTTTTTTTTTAATAATTTTTTTACAAAACCTAACGGGGCGGGTGTCAATTAGCTAGTATGTAGTTAAATGGCATTATGGATACACTCTAGCAATTCACGGTACAAATGAGAGATTGATTGAATTACAGGGAACCTCTAAGCTATTTTAGTTTGATACTTAAATTGAACGGCTTTGCCTTCTCACATTCCTCATTGGGTCTCCTAAGACCAAAATTTCTCAAGAAACCAGATGGTGGTCAACCTCCCATCTTCTTCCCTTCTCTTACCATTGATCTTCCTCTTCTTAATATTCATCACAATCAGCGGCCAACATTTCACAATCCCAGAATCAACCATAGAGGAAATCCAACAAGCCTTCTCTGAAAACAGACTGACATCAACACAACTCGTAGACTTCTACATAACCCAAATCAAAACCCTCAATCCCCTGCTTCACAGCATTATAGAAGTGAATCCAGATGCACGTGATCAAGCTAAAAACGCTGATGAAGAAAGGAGAGAAAATCAGGGCAGGAGAAGCTTAGGGGACTTACATGGGATCCCAGTGTTGTTAAAGGACACGATTGGGACTAAAGATAAGTTGAACACATCAGCTGGATCCTACGCTTTGGTGGGTTCAGTGGTGGCCAGAGATGCAAGCGTTGTAGAGAAGTTGAGAAAGGCTGGTGCAGTTATAATGGGAAAAGCTAGTCTTAGTGAATGGTACAAGTTTCGTTCTTTAAGTCATGTACCTAATGGTTGGTGTGCTAGAGCTGGACAAGGAGTGGTAAGCTCTCTCATTTCATGTTTTCAAATATAATTTTTTAGTTTATTTAGTTTTACACTTGAATCTTTTATGAGGTTAATAGCAGTTTATAGTGCTAGCCATTGTCACAACATGAATGGTCTGGTCTGTCTTTGGCAGGAAAAATGCACATTGCTTGTCTATTAATATGTTGGAACGTTTAATGTTGATAATGTTAATTTCCGAATTTCTCTACAATTATGAGTAAATAATTTCAGGAGTAATCTTATGATATATATCCTGATAGGTTATCTCTTCCTAGGTTAGGAATGAAGAATGATGGCTGCATTGCAGTGTAGTTTCATAACAATGAACCTTGCAATAATCAAATACACAAACATGATGAGAATCCCTTTACCAAAGCCAAGGTTGCATGGTTGGGTTGATACATGAGAACTTGTTATTGTGCCCAGTTTCTTGAAGTGCACGTGGACTAATAATACTAGGATTAACCAATAAGTCAGTAGTCCCTAATGGAATTCAATGCTTGACATGTGAAAACATGCAGAATCCTTACCTTGTAACAGGGGATCCATGTGGCTCAAGCAGTGGATCAGCAATTTCAGTAGCAGCAAACATGGTGGCAGTATCACTTGGAACTGAGACTCATAGTTCCATCATATGTCCCTCTGATCATAACTCTGTTGTAGGTCTCAAACCCACTGTTGGTCTCACTAGCCGTGCTGGTGTTATTCCAGTTGCGCCTAGCCTAGACACCATTGGGTAAGATCATAACCTAAGTAATAACAAACCTGCAAAAATAACTCTTAGAGGACAAAGCCATAACATCTGCAATCTTCTAGCAAAGAATGAATTTCTCAATGATAAACTGGCAGGCCTGTAACCAGGACAGTGTCTGATGCAGTTCGAGTACTAGATGTAATTGTGGGTTTTGATCCAAGAGATTATGAGGCAACACAAAGAGCAGCCAAGTTCATACCTGCTGGTGGTTACAAGCAATTCCTCAATCCAAACGGGCTCAAAGGAAAGAGATTGGGCATAGTTAGGAACCCATTTTTGAAGTTGTTGAATCAATCTATATTTCCTATCTTTGAGCATCACGTGAACACATTAAGGTAAAGCATTGAACTAGGCATAAATGGTTTTGAATATGAAGTTTTATTCTTATTCTAGTCCAGTTTATATGATGAGCATTTGATCTTGAAAAATGTAGGGAAAGAGGTGCCACTGTAGTGGACAATCTTGAGATAGCAAACATAAATACTATTGTCAATCCATCGCGAAGCGGTGAACTGACACTAATGATGGCTGAGTTCAAACTCTCCTTAAATGATTACCTGAAAGATCTAATCACTTCTCCAGTCTGGTCGCTTGCTGATATTATAGCCTTCAACAAAAATAACCCCGATCTAGTGAGTGGTGTAATTCTCTCCTTTGTTACACCTGGCCTTAGAAAGCCTAGCTGATTATAATGGTTCTGTTAAATGCAGGAGAAGGATAAAGAGTATGGTCAGGATACATTCATAGCAGCGGAGAAGACGAATGGCATTGGAGAGAAAGAAAGGAAAGCTATAGAGTTGATGGAAAAACTCTCACAAAATGGTTTTGAGAAACTGATGATGGAAAATAATTTGGATGCAATGGTGACACCAGGTTCAGGTGCCACATCCGTGCTGGCAATTGGTGGATACCCTGGGATTACTGTCCCAGCTGGATGTGATATCAATGGGATGCCATTTGGGATCTGTTTCGGTGGATTAAAAGACACTGAACCAAAGCTAATTGAGATTGCTTATGACTTTGAGCAAGCTACCATGATGAGAAAGCCTCCTCTTCTTGAATCTTTTCAAATGACTCCAGAATTTCTATCTGGAAGTTTTTAACATACTAATGATGACTGGTTTGCATACAAGGACTTTTCCCTTTGTGCTGGTAGAGATACGGTACTGCATTGATTCAGAAAATCATCCAGGACACCTTAAATCCAGAAAAAAGGCCCTTGTATATATTATTGTTAACTTGTAGTTGCTCGTACGATATTCTGGCTTTCAAGTTCAACAAAGCCTTGATTGTTTGCAGTCTTTGAACTTGTCTTGATTTCTTCTCTGAAATGGAAACTAGCCATTGTCTAAATGTCATTGGAATAACGTAGTCCAAGGTTATCCTGATGGCTAGGAGTATTGCATCAAAAGGGTATCTATAACATTGCCTTTTTTCCGTCATCATCATCATCATTAATTGGATTGTGGAGGGATTTAATGTGGACCTAATTCCAAACGAAATTTGATGTTTCATGGTTTGACGGAAAAAATAAAAAATTTCAATTTGTTACATCGTGTTCTAAAATTCAACTCTTTAGGTGTCAAAACTCAAAAGCTGGCCTTGTACATGCCTCATGTCAAAGGTTTGCTCACGAAAATACCTTAGTTTGTTTTGTAATTATCTAATTTTTAAAGAATTTTGTAAATTAAAATGGTTTGGGCCTGGGTTTTGATTTTGTTAAATTTCAACAGGCTTACTCTCTAGGTATGGAAATTTCCATCCAGAAAATAGGCGTAAGGGCTGGCCCATCAGCAATTCTAAATCTTGTATTAATTAAAACATAAGAATTAATTAGGATGGTTATTAAATTCCAAAAAGGCGTTTGCTATTTCACATTTAAAAACTTTGACTCAGACCGCCTCCTAAAAGCAAATAAGAATCACCTATATAACATTACAAAAACCCTAGCAAATCTGAATCATCTCAATTTGGCGGCTAGGGTTTAGTTCCCTTTTCATGTTCGGACTCTGTATATAAGCCTGTTTGTTAAAGCTATTCCCTTCTGGGTTTTGCCTATATTCTTTTATCTACCACTCATTACTCGTTCAAGTCCGTCTCAAATTCTATCGATTTCCTTCAGTTTTCTTGGGTTTTAATCCAATATCCATCTGGGTTTTCGTTTCTTTACTCATTCTTGATTCATTGATTCAGCACCGAACCAAAAGTTCATATTAGTGAAAAGTTTGTGGCTTGGTGTTAAAGATTGCATCTTTGTTGATTGTTTTGTTAGTTTAGTATCATAAATCAAGGGTTTTTGAGGCTTGCTAATTCTTCTGAATAAGTTTGATTTTGCATTGTAGAAATATGAGTTACCCTGATTCCCATGATTCCTTTATGTCACTACAGGCCTCATATCAAGCAGGCAGTGATGCTATTGGTGTGTGGCCTCAATTTGTAATGAATAACAATGAGCAATTTGAACACCACCAACCACCTTATAAAAGGCCAAGAAACTCCGAGGATAACTCCAACCAATCCATGAATTCTAGGACGCCACCAACAAACAACCTTCCAGTCCACAAGGGAACAACCAACATCTTTTTCAAGACAAGAGTTTGTGCAAAGTTTAAGACTGGCACTTGTAGGAATGGCGAGAATTGCAACTTTGCTCATGGAATGCAAGATTTGAGGCAGCCTCCTCCAAATTGGAAGGAACTAGTGGGTGTAAGTGTAATTAGTGAAGAGGATAGGTCAACAGCGACCAATTGGGAAGATGATCAGAGGATAATTCACAAGATGAAGCTGTGCAAGAAGTTTTATAATGGGGAAGAGTGTCCTTATGGTGATAGGTGTAATTTCCTTCATGAGGATCCATCAAAGTTCAGGGAGGACACAGGGAGGTTCAGGGAGAGTTCTGCAATAAGTATTGGTACTACAGGGCAGGCGTTGGGTCATGGAAGTGGTGTGTTTAATGCTGCTGAAGTTAATAGGCCGGCAAACAATGCTGTTTCAGATGCTTCTCGATCAAATATAATAAAGCCTGTTTATTGGAAGACAAAATTGTGTACCAAGTGGGAGATCACAGGTCAATGCCCCTTTGGCGAGAAATGCCACTTTGCTCATGGGCTAGCAGGTACTTTCTGTTGCTTAAGTTGTATTTCATCGTTATATTTAACTTGTGTTTATCACTTTAGTTTCTCCCTTGCATGTTGACTTCTTTTCTTAAATATTGGAACTTCTTTGGTATCTTGATGGCTTCTAAGGAATGAGGGGTATAATGAGAGTTTTGTTGGCTTAAAATCATGGAGAGGGTAAAAAAAATCGATTTGTTATTTCTCTATCTGTGAACTGAGAATCTTTGTCAAGTGTCCTTGGGATAATGGCTTTTCTCTGATATGTTAAATTATCTGCCTTTGTATTGAGGGATAATTCTTGCTTGAATATTAAAGGCCTATCATTTGCGTAGAGGAACTCTTATTGTGCTAGCTAATAATCAAAATTCCATTTTCCAGTCAGTTCTCTTATAACCAGTTCCTGATTATATGCACACTATATTAGTTTAGTATATAGCCTTTTCATTTCCTCAAGGAGTCATGCTTTTTTGGGATTTTGAGTCTTCTGAAACTAATAGTTAACTGGATCAACGCATCCTGTGGTCGTGATTTTGCTTCTTTCTTTTAGACTTTTTATGAGGCTGTCTTATTCTTTCTCTGCCAAACCATCCATCACTAATATACCTTTTTTTTTACTCTATAATGAACTCAGTTTTTAGTTAGAACTGTTCTATGTGGTGTAGCAGTAATGGTGAATTTTTGCCCCCCTCAATTCTAGTTCTATGATTAAAGAGAAACAGAGTTGGTCTCAAGCTTGCATGTATGTGGATATGAGTGAGCTATATGAACTTGGTGCTGCATCATATGAACGCAATCACATCCACTAGAAAAGATGCAAAAAACTCATCATTGATGGGATAATTTTTATTTTTATTTACTGATTCCAACTCTTCATTGAATTCAGAGTTACAAGCTCCTGGTGGACGCACTGAGGTGGAAGCAGGAAATGCAGGCTCTGTTTTGACTAAAGCACCACCACCTCTTCTTCCTAATAATGTTTCTCCAAGTGTGACAGTGAATGTGCCTAGTTTAATTGAAGAGGAGCAAGGTAAGAAATGCTTATTAAAGTGGAAAGGACAGAAGAAAATAAATCGGATTTATGCTGACTGGCTTGATGATCTGCCATTAGTTCACAACTTGACAAACCAAGTGCAGAGTTGAGTTTGAGTGGAAACTACTAGTTTGCATTGCATTCATGTTTCAGCTACATCAATAGTTTTTTTTTTTTTGTTCTGTTTCCGAAGTTGAATTTTGTACTACAGGATGTTGAGATGTCCAAAAGACATAGGAGAAGAGGCATAGGATAGTTTGTTTTCTCTGCCAAATAGGCTTTTTAATGGTTCTCATTTTCACCCCTTGTTTTCCTTCCATGATTCTTAGTTTGGAAAAGAAATAAATGTTTCCTTCATAGCAAATGTGATTGACAGCATATTATTCTTTTTGAAATGTAAGTCAGTGCTCAATGCTTCCTTCATAGCAAATGTGATTGACAGCGTAATATTTTATTTGAAATATAAGTCGTTCTTTTCTCTATTTGTTTGCTTGTCTGGGATCCGCTTATTCTCAGCTCTCATTTTCCGGCTTTCAGCTTCGCTTATTCTCAGCTCTCATTTTCCGGCTTTCAGCTTTCTTTCTTCTTTTTCCCCCAAATAAAGTGGTTGTATTCAAGTTATTCCTAAGCGTGGACATTATTGGATAGCATTGTACGACCGGTGCAAAGAGGATCCTAAATGATGTAAATAATGCAGATAGAAACAACGCAGGGTTTTCACCATAAGAACCTAATTCATATTTTCTCGCATGATGTTTTTCTCTGATTTTTTTAAGAGTTCTAAAACCTTATAAATAGGTTAAAAATCAATCTTTACAAGGTTGGAAAATCAGAATCATGAAAAACAACATCAAATCTAAATTAAGCTAAAAACTCAAGAAATAAAAAGAAAAATAATGAAACTGGATAGTCCATATCCAATAATAACAAATCCACAACGGACGATTTAGAACTATCAACCTGTCCTCACCAGGGTAGCTAACAATAAATTTATTTGAATTCGTAGAATGATTTCCATGCAAAAACATAATCTGAAGAACTGCAGAACTCTGATGAGAAAAACTCCAAAAATATGGACGGCAGATACCATAAGCCATGAATTAGACATGCACTAGAGTCTCTACAGCCTTTACTCGGTAGTACCTAGCTAGTACCCCAGCTCAAAGCTTTAAGAATATTTTGTGGAGTCATTTTCAATGCTGCAATAAGTTAAGAAAGCTGTTATGACATACTTGGCAGATTTTGCTTCAAAATGAAACAAATCATTCTCTTATATCGAACAACATTAAGCACGTCACAATCTAGGTAGAAAAGTAGAATCTTGCAGGGAAGATAAAACAAAAACAGTATTCTGACAAACAGCGGCAATTTTTGTTTCTCGAGAGTAGTTAGACGATTTCTCGTCTCATTTAAATCCAAGTCGCAAGCAGAACATAAAATTCCATTAAATTAGATATGGCTATCAACACACCGCCTAGCTTCTCACTCCTTTCATCACTAACTTTCATTCTTTTGACAATATCAAGCCATGCATTCTCAATCGAGGAAGCAAGCATGTGTGATCTCCAGCTTGCTTTTAAGCAGAACCAACTCACGTCAAGGAAGCTAGTTGAGTTCTACATTGGAGAAATCAATAGACTGAACCCAATCCTTAAAGGGGTTATGGAAACAAATCCTGATGCGCTCTTCCAAGCTGATAAGGCCGACTATGAGCGCAGGATTAAGGCACCAGGTTCATTGGTTGGCTTGCATGGCATTCCTATCCTGCTCAAGGATAATATTGCAACCAAGGATAAGTTGAACACCACGGCTGGCTCTTTTGCACTGCTTGGATCAGTCGTGCCTCGTGATGCAGGCATCGTGGTGAAGTTAAGGAAAGCTGGGGCTATAATTCTTGGAAAGGCTAGTTTGAATGAGTGGGCTGGTTTCATGTCAGTCAAAGCTCCTAATGGCTTTAGTGCAAGAGGTGGCCAAGGAGAGGTGGTTTACTTTAATCTTCAGAGTTATATAATTTCTTGCTATTTTTGATAGAGTAAATTTTGATTGGACTGTAAGAAATATCAAACAGATTCGGTAGACTAACATTCTTGTGGATTGAATATTTATGCAGAATCCTTATCTTTTATCAGCAGATCCTTGTGGATCAAGTAGTGGGTCAGCAATATCAGTAGCAGCGAATTTGGTGACTGCGTCTCTAGGTACTGAGAATGATGGCTCCATCTTATGCCCATCAAATGCTAACTCGGTGGTGGGAATAAAACCAACAGTTGGTCTCACCAGTCGAGCTGGAGTAATCCCAATTTCTCTAAGACAAGACACTGTTGGGTGTGTGATCTTATGCTATTCATATCAGCTTAATTATGATATTTGATAGGCGTAAAAAATATCATCAATATTTTCCCAATAATAAGCAAGAAATGGCTATATGTCTAAATCTGGCAAGCTGCTGCTACCTTCTTTATCATATATATGGATGAATTGAACTTTGTGTGTTTTCTATCCGTTTAAGCAATTAATAAGCTATACAACGTTCAACTAAATGAGTAACTTGTCAGTCATTCCAAGTACAGAGTAATTTGTTGTTTCGAAACTCTTCTATTAAATTCTAGAACCATAAATTCATTCCTTGGCTGTGGATGGAACAGACCTATCTGCAGGACGGTATCGGATGCTGTTTATGTTCTTGACGCCATTGTAGGATTTGATTACCATGATCATGCAACGCAAGAAGCAGCGAAGTACATCCCACACGGTGGCTACAAACAGTTTCTCAAGCGTCATGCGCTCAAAGGCAAAAGACTTGGAATCGTAAGGAATCCGTTCTTGAGTTCAGCCAGTGAATCTGAGAGTCAAGCTTTTGAGCATCATCTCCAAACAATAAGGTAATATAATCTTCAAGCACTAATTTTACTAACATGCTGGGCGGCATAGTCTTATATTTGCTGTACAAAAATTCATCATCATATGACAAATTTTATCTGCAAATGAAGTCAAAGAGGTGCAGTTTTAGTAGACTGCTTGGAAATAGCCAACATGGATACTATTTCCACTGGGACTGCCGAAGGAACGGCATTGCTGGCTGAATTCAAAATATCCTTGAATGCATACCTGAAAGAGCTGGTGGCTTCCCCAGTCCGAACATTAGCCGATATTATAGCATTCAATCAGAAATTTGCAGATGTGGTGAGTCCATGAAAATATGAGCAAAGATGGGTAATGCTTACATTCCATAGCCTAAAAGATCCTCGAAACTTCGTATGGCCTTGCAGGAAAATATCAAGGAATTTGGTCAAGACCTCTTTCTAGCAGCTCAAGCTACAAACGGAATTGGAAACAGAGAGAAAGCTGCATTGTCAAATTTAGCAAAACTAACAAGAGATGGATTTCAGAAGTTGATGTGTGATTACAACCTAGATGCACTGGTAACTCCCGGAGCAGGTATAGCTCGTGTTCTTGCAATTGGTGGATTCCCTGGAATTAATGTTCCCGCAGGATATGATGATTCAGGAGTACCTTTTGGCATCAACTTTGGAGGACTAAAGGGCTCAGAACCAAAACTGATTGAGATTGCATATGGCTTTGAGCAAGCAAGTGAAATAAGAAAGCCTCCTACATTCAAGGCTTTAAACTTCACAAGAATGCTTCTTTCAAGTTTAACTGATGTATGATTAAATAGCTAGGAAATCTTTAAGAAATTTCAAGCTCTGGTTGTGATAATAAAAATACTACTAATTTCCAGGACAAAATTTTCATCATGCAAGATCAGAAAGCATTATCTTTGATAGCCTTAAAATCATGTTTCTTGATTTCTTCCTTAGGCACAGTGACAATAAGAATTCCATTCTCCATAGAAACCTTAACTTGATCCATGTTGACTACCGTCTTGGCTTCGATAGATGAACTTTGTGTTACGTTCTTGGATCGCCAAGGCTTTCACGCAAGATTCTGGACCCTATTCTCAAATGGGTCAAGAATCTTGGATACAAGAAAAGAAGGCCCGTGAAAGCCTTACGTGGGTTTCAAACTCTTGCAGCCTCTTGGGACACCAGGCTGTGTATATCAATATATTTTCTTCTAGCATAATCTCCAAACGCAACGGTAATAAAACAGACTTTGATTTTATCTCCTGTAATGTTGATAAATCAATGCAGATTTTTGAATAAAAAATATAAATATATTATTAAATTACATTTTAAATGTTTATGATCACTTAAAAAAAATATTAGTAACTACTCAAATCAATAGATTAATTTTTTTGAATTATATATCAAGTAATGAGATTTAATAAAATATATAGATAATTAAGTTAGGTTAAATGTGAGTGAAGTAATAGAATATAACGACTAGCGGGGCTTTTGGAGTATTTTTATCCGGTGTTAGAAAATAATATAAATTATATCCTGTAATCTTACTTAAAACTTAAATTTTTTAGGTGAGATGGTTTTTTGACATAGTATCAAAACCTTAATAATTAAATAGTCTCGAGTTCGAATCTCATCATCTCTATTTATTTGATAAAAAAATTAAGCATAAGATAATATGGGTCTGTGTAAGTTTCAAGCCCAAAAAACTTTTACTTGAAGGGATGTGTTAGAAAATAATATAAATTATATCCTGAGACTTTATCTAAAATATTAAGCTTTTAGGTGAGATGATTCTTTGATATCCAGTTCAATTCATCTGAAATCTCAAATGATGTAAAATAAGATTTAAATGATATGAAATGAGTGTTTTTTTTTTTTCGATTTTTCAATTAATATAAAATATTTCCTACATATCGAATGGAACCGAAACAACTACTTTCTAAGCACAAAGGAGATGGATATGCGTCCCAAAATTCCAACCATGAAAAGATTTGCCTGTGATTATCAACCAGCAGATCAACGATTCATCACGTGTCTCTTAATCTAGAGGAGGAGGACTTTTACGAGGGTTTAACATGTGCACTGGCATGATACCATATAAATACGGGTAGTGTTGATTTGCAATAAAAAATTCTAAGGGAAAGCAAAATTGAGATGGCAAGAATGGTAGCCTTAGTTTATGCTTTAATCATCTATGTTGCTGCTGTTCCATCATATGGTGAATATTACTCAAAGTGAAGTCATGTCCCAAGGAAGGAGAAGGTGAGTACTCTCCTTCACTTCTTCCTTCATGACATTGTTAGTGGAAAAAGCCCTTGTGCAGTAGTCAAGGTTGCCGGATCTAATCACACCCAAGCTGGTGACATATCACCTGCACCATGTGGCAAGCAGCGTATTCACTGTTGATGATCCTCTTAGAGCGGGATCCGAGCCGAACTCGGAGATTTTTGGGAACGCACAAGGGCTCCATTTATCATCCAGCCAAGATGCTAGTAAAGTTAGTATAGCTAGTGGAGTACAATGATTTTGCTTTTACAACTGGTAGGTTTAATGGGAGTTCGTTCGGGGTGTTTTCAAGGAATCCAGTATGGGAGGGGATCGTGAGGTTGCGGTGACTGGAGGAAGAGGGAAGTTCAGGATGGCTAAGGGATTTGCCAAGATCAGCGCCAGCTTTCTCAATGCTACTACTGGTGATGCTATTCTTGAGTGACATAGGGTTATTTTCATCTGGCAAGTATCACCGATTTGTTTGAAAATAATTGGGATGTTAAATTACTGAAGGGATTCCATTTTCCTCTGCAATTCCTTCTTGGTTTTCTGACATGGGATTATATCCTTGCTTCCTGTCAGCTTCTCTATTGCTGCCTTCTGTTGCAGCTAGCTGGCTTCTTGTACTCTTCGCCAATGGGCCTTTTTGGTCTATTTGGAGCTTTTTAATAAATTTGTTCGGCTTATGATAAAGAAACTACGGTTATTATATCATTTAGGTATACATAGCAATGGGCTTTTTTAATAAATTTGTTTGCCAGTGGGCTTTTTTGTCTATATATTTATTAATTTGGAGTTTTTTAACAAATCTGTTTGGCTTATGAAAAAGATTATATCTAGTAGGAAAGGTAGGGCAGATTGGAAAATAAAAGATTTATGAAAATTTGCAGCAATCTCTCAACATGGAACAAAACGTGTGTAATAATAACCTATGAAAACAAAGACATCTCCCGCTACCCTTTAATTTTACATTTAAGTCAATTAAATTTTAATTGACACCTACAAATTTATACCCTAAATGGTAAAGTTTAATTAGTTATATTTTAGGTTTTTTTTTAGAGATTACTAATTTAAATTTCATAAATTTAAAGGTTATTAGAGATTTATATAATTATTAATTTTAAAATTAATAAATCTGAACACTCGTGTTAATAATAATAATAATTAATAAAATTTTGTGTGTGTGGAGTTTTCCATGTCACGCCAATCTAATATAGCCAATTAAGGGATTTTTTTTGGCAAGGATTTCCAAAGGATTCTTAATTTTATAAACCGTTCAGTCGGGGTAAATTTATATGTTTATTTTTATAAATGTGATCATATATAATCTTATTAAATATTAATGCAAAAATCATAGAGATAGTAGCAATTAGGGGATACAATCAAAGATCATGCTCATCCCTAAGCAAATAAAGCAGCAGAGAAAGCCAATTATCAATTGAAGTATTTCAGGCAAACAAGCAAAAAATAAATAAATTACAGTAGCTAATCATATGAACAATAATCTTCTAAAAAACGCTCGTCAAAAAATCTCATTGAATTGAAATTGAGTGCAATGAATGAGAGGATCTTGCTCTAGGTGAATCCAATAAATTCCATGAGGTTTAAAATTTTAAGGAAATTATTTCGGAAAGAAACTTTTGATAAGATTAATTATAGCATTTACTCCATTTGTTTTTATCTCCTTTTTAACCATGAAAAGTTAAATGGCACTTGAGAATTAAGGAAAATGGCCTTTTCATTTATCATTCTATAAATTGAATAAATAATTGAGTTTTTAATTTATCCTTTTATTAACTCTCTTTTTTTTCCTAAATTAATATATATATAATCAGTCATGTATACAATTTAATATTATAATATTCAAAATAATGAAGGATATATTGGAAATTCAATATATAAAAGGATAGACCTCTAATTTTCCCTGCAAAATATTGTGATTGCAAATCCTTCATTGATTGCCTTGTAGGGATTTGTGCATTGTCCTTCGGATAAATGGATTTTGTTATTAAACATTGATTTTTCTTTTGCTAGGACTATTAAATGCGTTGAATCAATATCTATTCTAACCGTTAAAAACGGCAACATTTCAAGAAATAAATGACTATCATATAGCACATAATTAAATCGTATAAAAATGGTTAAAGGTGTTCTTGATCTTTCATCAACAATTTGATAGGAGAAAAAAAGATGGCAAGAATGGCAGCCTTTGTCTGTGCTTTGATCATATGTATTGCTATTGTTCCAGCAGCATATGGTGAATATTACACAAAGAGTAGGCATGTCCCCAGGAAGGAGAAGGTGACCCGCCTTCACTTCTTCCTCCATGACATTCTTAGTGGAAAAAATCCTTCTGCTGTCAAGGTAGCCGGGTCTAATCGCACCGAAGGTGACAAATCACCAACACCATTTGGCAGCGTGTACGCCATTGATGATCCTCTTAAAGTGGGACCCGAGCCCGACTCGAAGACTATAGGGAATGCACAAGGGCTCTATTTATCATCCAGCCAAGATTACAGTAAATTTACTATAGTGATGTGTGTTGATTTTGGATTTACAAAAGGTAAATTCAAAGGAAGCTCATTTAGCGTGTTTTCGAGGAATCCAGTGACGGAGGCTGATCGCGAGGTTGCGGTGGTTGGAGGAAGAGGGAAGTTCAGGATGGCTAGAGGATTTGCCAAGGTCAAAACTAGCTATTTCAATGCTACTAATGGTGATGCTGTTCTGGAGTATAAGGTCACTTTGATTTATTAGTGAGTTAGCTATAGATATTCTCATCGGGAATTCTAGAGCACACCGCAAAACGAAAACCTGTTGGAAAATTGTTGCCATCACATGGATCGAATGAAAGGTGCCTAATAATGGTCGAATCAAATACCTTTAATTTGTCTGTGCTTCGTGATTCAGCGTTGGGAATGGTTCACTTCGCTAGATGCCTGTCATCTTCTTACACGCGAAAAACATACAAAAAGAAAAACCTTAATAAAAAAACATTATTTTAATATTGTTAGAAAGTATTGTCTCACACAATTTAATGGGATTTGCCGAACCAGATTGATAGGGTACAGTGAATGAAAAGAGAGAATTTAGCATGATATAGCCAATGATTTTGTTGACTTTCACAAGTCGCGCTCACGCAACTAAAAGAGATCTTTCTTTTGAAGAAGGGATCCTAAATCTATGCATGATACAGCCAGCCAACCTGCCAAGATTTCCCCTTTATTGTAAATTTCTTTCCTATACTGTTGAAATGCAGATGGGAAGGAGTCTGGTGGAGTCCGTAATTAGAACTGTGGTTCTCATACAGCCATTCATGTTCATATTCTGATCACAATTTCTTTTTTTCCTTTTTGTTACAACTAATCAATTCACTTAACCACAACCAACCCACCTACTCCCTTAACCCTTATGTCCATGAAAATGTCATGGAATGGTTAGGACTCAGAGCTGCCTTTGACCAAAAAAACAAAGGCGGTGCATTTTTCATTTGGACCTATTACAGATGGCATTGTTTTGTTCTCTCTAATTTGCAGAATAGGAATCGCATGAACCTACAGTTCATAACGATGGGATCTTATATGTAGGTAACCTGTTTTTGAATCTCGTGATAAGCTGTCCTATATAAAGACCTCTAATAGCATCAATACAGAGCCAAGACACACCTTCTTATATTATTCTCTCATAGACCCTCCTCCCTATTTTTCTTGTGCAAGGACAAAGGAGAAAGAAAATGGCGAAAGCGACTTTAGTTTTGCTGGTCATTTCCTTGGTGGGAGTCATGCAATGGGCTAATAGTACTAATGCAGAGAGCTGGGCCAGCAGACTCGAAGCTGAAAAGGAGAATGTGACAAACCTTCAATTCTACTTCCATGACATACTCAGTGGCAAAAATCCTACAGCTATTAAAGTTGCTCAACCAAGTGCAGATAACAAATCCCCCACCCTCTTCGGTTCTATCATGATGGCTGATGATCCCTTGACAGAAGGGCCTGATCCGAGCTCAAAGCCCGTTGGCCGAGCTCAAGGGATTTATGGGTCAGCAGGACAGAATGAATTGGCCTTGATCATGGCCATGAACTTTGCATTCACCGATGGTATCTATAATGGTAGCTGCATTAGCCTCCTTGGTAAGAATCCGGCAATGAATCCTGTTCGTGAGATGCCAATTGTTGGAGGAACCGGCCTATTCCGGTTTGCACGTGGTTATGCCGTTGCACAAACCTATTGGCTTGACGTTACCACTGGCGATGCCATAGTAGGCTACAATGTTACAGTAGTTCACTAGATGTTACTTCACTGTTACGTAAAAGAGTAGTCATGTTTTTTCTCAACTTGGTTTGCCATGAGTTGGTTACCTACTCTTAGGCTATGATACTTGACGCAGCAGCACCATACATGTGTGTTCATTACTTCCACTTGTAAGCATATTCGCACATGTATCATATATTATGCATCATTCTGTTAAAATTTCTTCTTCAAAATTTTAAACTTAATGATCTTCTTTCCTTATGAATGGCTTGATCTTAAATTATGGAAATTTGTAAAGTAATCCAACAATTAAATCTTAGTTCCAAAAACATATTCATAGAGTTGTTGTTTCCTAGCTTGCATCACAAGCAATTTTCACTATTCATGAGAAAACAAAAGGATATACAACCACCTTTTCCTTTCCCACGAAATTTGAGGAAGGAACCAAAGCCAAAGCAAGTGTAGCAAACTGTTGATTGGCATTGCTGCTGTTCTTTTTAGTAATAATGGTGTTTAGATCAGTAGTATTTGATTAATGTTGCTTCCCTTCTCTGCCTCATCATGTAAGCATGTCCATCAACATGATGAACAGATTAGGAATACGAATTAATAATTTATTCCTGTCCAAAAAATATTCAACTTGGTGATGATGATAAACAAATCATGATACTGTATTTAGAACCAGAAACAGTATAGAGATTAGAATTTGTGACTAAATGGATGAACAATCCAGCAAACAGACCTTGGAAGTTTAATAATTTGTTCCTGGCAATCTTAAGGTATATCTCGAAGCTTGAGACAGTCTCTTTTACTCACGTTCTTCACGAAACCAACCAAGTAGCAGATCGGTAGGCAAAACAAGGATTTTCCACAGAGTCTGAAGTTCTTGCTTGGATCTGATTTGTTTTTGTTCCTCTGTATCTTTTTTTTTGGATGTCAGTTGTATTAGGGCTGGCGATTTGAGTCTATCAAGTCTTCAGGCAATCTCTTTACGAAGCTCACTCAATGCCCTTGCCTTTCTTTCACTGCTGCACCTGAAGTCTTGAATTTCTCGATCAAGAATTTTGGACCAGCTGCCTTTCTGGGTTTGGCTTCTACTTCTAGACTACTAGGTACTGAGGGGAGTTTTTGCTGTGAACTTTTTCTCCCCTCCTTTTTTTTTTTTTGTCTCAAGTCTCTTTGCTGCTTCCCCTATATATGCTGCTGGTGTTTCGATGCATAAGGTCTTTCTGTGTCTATTTACTAGACTTCTAGTGGTTATTGAACTTTAAAATGGAAAGGCAAATCAGATAAGATGATTGCAGAACATCCAAAATTTTAGCAATGCCATTCAAACAAGACAAGCTCTGGGGAATTTCTGCAATTCCATTCTTTCAAGCGTTCCTTTTATGCCCGATAATCACCAGAACCATAGCATAAAATAGAATCAATCGTATAACTTAACAAGACTTGTATTAAAAGAAAGAAAAAGGTCATTTTTATTTATTATATAAGAGACAGTTACACCAAACCTATTCTTAAAAAGGAAAAAAAAAATGATGTCACCAAACCTGCAAGCATGCATCTTTCCTATCTAGGATACCTAATTTTTACATAATACTGAATTGACAACACACGCAAAGCAGGAGCTTAACAATTCTTCAGTGTTCGTCTCCACCGGCTGCAGTGGCGCGTCGGCAACGAAAGGATGAGTCAGGAGAGTATCGGCAGTCCACCTCTCCCTATGATCTAACTCAAAGCACCTCCTCAGGAAATCTTTTCCACTCTCTGACATGTATTCAGGAATCTTTGGAGATTCATTCCCACAGACAAGCTTATTGAACAACTCCTTCGAATCCAAGTTTCCCCAAGCAACCCGTCCAGTGATCATCTCAACAACAATGCAACCAAGAGACCATATATCCAAAGCCGGTGTGATCTCAGCAAATTGCACAGATTCAGGAGACATGTAGCACGGCGTCCCGCTGTATTGATACATATGAAACAGCTTATCCGAATCATCCTCTCCAGGCTCTTTAGCCAGCCCAAAATCAGCAATCTTGAGCTGAATATCACTTAATCCATCAACTTGACGAGGAAAAACCAGAATATTGGCGGGCTTAAGATCACAATGCACGTGACCGCTATTGTGGATGCAAGATAACCCCTTCAGTAGCATCTTCGTGTATTTCCTAACATGGCTCTCAAGAATCCTCCCTCCGCAATCCCTCATCAGGTTTAGAAGAGAACCCATAGGAGCATCCTCCAACAAGATATTGTACTTCAACACCCCACCTTCTTTACTCACACAATACCCGTAACATTCAACAACTTCATTAGTTCCAGGAAATCTTTCGAAGATCCTCCTCTCCTTCTGAAGAGTTGAAGAGTCTTCAAGATTTGCGTTCTTCACGGCAAACAATTCATTAGTAAATGTCGATATTGCTAAATAAACAGTCCCATACGAACCTTGCCCTAGGTTTTTCAACCTAAGCCATTTTATATTAATTGACATAACAAAAAACTAAAAGCAAAGGAATCGATAGGTTAAAATTAAGAAGGCTGTGAGTCTGCGACTAAATTGATTGAAGAAGAAGTATAAGGAATTGGAACGTGAATTTGCATGAACATGGCTGCGTGTGTGTATACATATTAAACGAGTCAATCCTTTTCAGGGTTGGATTGGAATACTAGCCTCTTTGTGAACAGTTGATCTCCAATATTAGTGGGCTCAGTCTTATCTTATTGGGAAACATATATTGTTAATGACATGCGATGATGATTATCTTCTTAATCTGTTACACCTGCACTAATTAAGAACTTGAATATTATGTAATATTGTGATATATTAATCACATTAATATATATAATTTTTATAATTATCGCTTTCTTTTTTGTTCAAAAATTAAATAAACTGATTTTTTTGCACTAATAATTAACTTACTTATATATTAATTAAGACTGTGCATATTATTAGATTACTCTGTATATAATTTTTATAAAACTAAAATTTTTTACTCTCTTTTTTTCTTTGAAAATTAAATGTTTTTTTCTTTAAAAATTAAATTGAACTGATTTTTCTAAAACTATAAAAATCAATTTGGTAAGAAAGAAATCAAATTTAATGGGAAAACTAAAAAGTAGAGTTTAGGTCCTACCGGGAGTCGAACCCAGGTCGCTGGATTCAAAGTCCAGAGTGCTAACCACTACACCATAGAACCACAACTTGCTAACCCGCTATCAACATGTATCATATAACTAAATAGTCTCTATTTTTTTCAAAAAGGTCGGTGAAGAAAGCTATGATAGAACCAGAGTTTGCAGCAGTTATTACCAAACGAGACAGGGGGAGGAAACGTTAAGGTGATAGACACTGAATTACTATACGGTTAATACACTTCTAACAGATATTGTTAAGTTTTTTGCAGTGAACTAGAAACTTTTTTTCCAAGAGCTAAGCTGGCAGTCTAAAATTCTCGTATGTTGGGAACAAGGTAGCGCAAGCAACATCCAAACTTTAAAGGAAGTTAGCTCAAGGCCTCTATGGCTTTATAAATGGGCGGCACAAATTGGGATTTTTGTTATCATGAAGTTCATAAACTTAGTCCTGTGCGTAGGAGAGGCTGCTATCATGTGCCAAATGCAAGGGCTGAATCTTGATTCTCAAATCCGAGGCAGTGGCACCTTTTACAGCTTGAGATGATCTACAGTTCTCTTGCAGGTCCCTTCATCACCCTCAAGCTGTTATCTTATGCTTTCTTGTCTCTCTTTTTTCAGCAGAAAGATGTCGATATGAAGGCAGGTTCAGATTCACAATGACATTCTCTTCTCTTATTGATAACACGGAAGACAAAATGCATGAGAAAGTCCCATGCTTTATTATAATTTAACAATTCGTGATTCTGGCCTAACCCTAGAAACTAGAAACGCAAGGACTATACACGGCAAGCGATCTAGTTTGTTACCATGCAAATCTATTTCATCAGCCATTTGAGGAGAAAACTATATGGATTCTTGAAACAGGCATTGTTGAACAAGAAGCAATAATAGGTCTAGTGGATTGATAAGAAGAAAAAACCACTTTGAGAAAATATCTAACAAAGAAATTACAACAACTAATATCATACAACATGATGTCATCTGATTCCAACAAAAAGAGAAGGAAAGGGTGGGGGGCACGAAGCAGCTTTTAACTTCACTCGCATTACTCGATGACCTACACAACATGGCGACATCAGAAGTTTCCTAGCAAGTATAACCTAAACTTTTCTTCATTGTCCTAGTTGCAATTGTTGAGGATACTCGATTAGCTTCTTCAAAAGAGGAATGAGGCCAACCAAAGCAAGTTGAAGCTGTTCTGAGCTATTTAAGCGAATACTGATTTGTCCAGCTCCCCTGTTATTCAAATTAGCACGACCAATCAAATTTGTAGATCGTCCTATAGGAATCTGGGATTGCAAATTGCAGCCAATGGCAAGATCTCCATGCCAGTCCATGACAGAAAGCCCAAGTGTTGATAATGAACGACCAAGAGGATAATCTTTGTCTCTCAGCTGGACCTCCAAACTGCCACCATAGGCCACATCACCACGACCACTCATAGCACCACCAGACATGACCATTTGGAAACGCTTACCAGCAATCAATTTATCCTCAACTTTCACTCCAGTTGATAAGACGTCACCCAATAGAGTAACCGAGAGACCAGCTGTAGCCTTATTTTTCCTAAAATTACTGAACCTAGTCTCACTGCGTAAAGTATAGGCCAAGTCTTTTCCCACGGTCTGCATATCAAACCCCAGTGAAGTAGCTTTTCCTTCTCCGTGCTTTAGAGAACTTGCTAACTCCATTTGAACATTGGCATCCTTCTTGTCCTTTGTTACCTGGCCAGAAAAAGATATAGGTATCTTGTCTTTAACCACAAACAACCTCTCCACATTTATACCTTCATAACCAACATCATGATCCCAGCCATGAGTTTCTAGAACTGGCCTCACAAGCCACTGGTTGGAGGTATCAAGATAACGGTACCGGTGAGTGGGATTATCAGAATCAAACGAAGCAGGTAAGGCTAAATCTGGCATGGGAACAGGAACAGATGCAGCTCCTCCACCTTCTTCTGCATTTTCAGTGTACTCACTAGGCAGGTCCTTCGCAGCTGCAGCCATTTTCTTCATCATCTTCTGTCGCCTTTTCTCCTCCTTCAACTGTTTTTTCATGAAAAGTTTCTCTCTGTATTCTAACTCATCAAAATATGCCTTCTTCTGAGCTTTAGTAAGCTTCGCAATCTGAGCCTTTGTCAAACTTTTAAATGGTGGCAATTCATCATATTCCGATTCATCCTCAGAATCTGACGAGTCATCTAAATCATCATCTAAACCATCCTCTCCGCCATACTGTTCCTCTGGCAGCTTAACTTGAGGTCTTGACTGGAGAAGGGATGAGAGAAGGAATGGTAAAGGAGGTGCTCTTGATCGAGTTGCAAAAGGCTTTGCAGGTGTACTATCTTGCAGCTTCAAAAGTGCATTCGCCTCAGCAAGAATCTTAGATGCGAAAGAGAGCAGCAATAAATGGGGCTTCCAAACCTGACCATTTGGCAACACTCTCTGCCCTGCCCTATTAGTTCTACATGCTGAGTGGTTCTCAACCAATGAAACAGGATTCATGAGTCGCATATCTCCAGCTGCCTGACGAATTGCTTGTTGGACAGCATGCGAGCGCTGAGTGACAAACATATCATAACTTGAAGCAGTACCATTTGGGCCATCAGGTGGAGCTGATGCCGCATGGGTCAAGACAACAATTGCATTAAACCATATAGAGGGACCAAATATGTCAGTGATGGTACGCAAGAGGGGCATATCACCAGAATCCCTGCTCTGCATGTCCAACCTGTCAAGATACAACACAATGTCTGGAGGAGTTTTCTTTATAAAGCGCTTAACAGAGTGAAGGATCTTCTCATTCTGGCGCTGGTCAGACCATGAAGGAAGAAGTCCTGGTGTGTCAATGACCCGTACCTTTATCCCCTGAACAGTGCCCACAACATCCTGAACCTTTTTTGTACCCAACTGAAAAGCATCTGTGCCAAACTTCACTTCATCAAATATTGAATTGATAGTGGCACTTTTACCCACACCTGTCTTTCCAAGAACCATAATTGTACAGGAGAAATCAAGGGGTTCCTGCCCGGCAGCCTCGAGCTGTTCTGCCATGGCACTGGCACGATCAAAACTGAAGCCAGCAACACGGCCACCACTTCTGCCTCGCAGCTGTTCAGCTAATCCCAGTCTGTATAAAACCTGTGCAACAACAACATTATGAGGAGTCTGCCCAAGTCTGTGTGCAAGTCGCAAAAATTTCACCCTAATCATTTGAAGTTTTTCACGAGTCTCGTCATACTCTTCTGATTCCCTGTTTGTAGGATCTTCAACCTGTTGGGATTGTGTATGAGAAACAGCTCCATTAGCACGAGGCTGCTGGACTGCCCTGGGTGCAGGTTCAAATAGTGGGGCAGCACGTCCAAGGCCAGCTGGACGAGAAGGTGTGGGAGCTGCACTTGAAGATTTTGCAGATGAAGATGCAATCTTGGGTAAATGCTTAATTTTTCGCTCCATATTTGCTGGAGTAGTTTGCTTATCCTCCTGACCCTTGTCTGCTTTCTCCTTAGGCTCTTCAGTCACATTAGTGCTTTTGCTGACTCCATTAGTATTGTTGGCAGCACGATGTACTTCAGAACCCTTGCTATCCTCTGCTCGCACATTAGATGCATGAGCCTGGATCTCCTCATTTCTCTCAGTCACTGACTTCTCTAAAGAAGATGAGGCTAAAACTCCCGGTACCAGCTTTACTTCCTCCACAACTGTCTGTGGGACAGATGGTGCAGCTTTCAGTTCATGAGTTTCCCCATTTTGCTCTGAAGCTATAACAGCTGAAACATCTTTCAACTTCCCATTGCTATCATCATGGTTTTCTGTATCCACAACTGCTGAGATGTCCCTGAAATGTTCGCTCTTATTAATCCCAATTCCAGCATCAAGGCCTACTATTGCACTGTCAAAATCCACATTCTTCTCAACATTATGTTTTATATCTGTTTTTTCCAGATTATCATCCAGTCCTTCACTCTGATCACCGTTAAGATCACCTGATAAATTAATTGACTCATTGGCCTCCTGATATTCAGAACCCAACTTATCCTCCTGATATTCCTCTCTTTCACCATCTTCATGATGAATTTCCTTGCTCAGCTCAATTTCTCGATTAGGATCAGCCTCACACTCACCCTTCAAAGCCTCTGTTCCCATATTACCAGCAATCTCAGACACCTCCGCATTATCCTCCTTCAGTTCCTCTCTTTCACCATCTTCAGAAAGAATCTCCTTGCTCAGCTCAATTTCTCGATCAGGATCAGCCTCATACTCACCCTTCAAAGCCTCTGTTCCTATATTACCAGCTATCTCAGACACCTCTGCATTATGCTCCTTAAGTTCCTCTCTTTCACCATCTTCAGGAAGAATATCCTTGCTCAACTCAGTTTCTTGATTAGGATCAGCCTCATTCTCACCCTTCAAAGCCTCTGCTCCTATATCACCAGCAATCTCAGAAACCCCCGCATCTCCACTCATCTCATTGTTCCCCACTTCCTGAGCATAATCTCCATCACTATTCAATTCCTTGCTTGACTCAATTTCTCGATTAGAATTGACCTCAGCCTCACTCCTTAAAGCCTGAGTTTCTCCATCAACAGTAATCTCAGAAACCTCCTCACCTCCAATCAATTCATTGTTCCCATCTTCCTTAGCAGACTCTCCGTTACCTTTCAATTCCCCACTTTTCTCATCTAAATGCTCAGCATCCATTTTTATCAAATTCTGGTCCATGCCTGAATTGCCACTAGTCCCCTGATACTCAGTGCTCAACTCATCCTCCTTCAGTTCTTCTCTCTCATCATTCTTGAGCAGAATCTCCTCATCCAATTTAATTCCCTGATTAGAATCCACCTCGCCTTCACCCTCAGCCTTCAAAACCTCTGTTACTCCATTACCAACGACCTCAGCAACCTCTCCTCCACTTGATTCACTGCCCCTAGCTTCCTTTGCAGTCCCTCCCTCATCAATCTTATCAACACTATCTTCGCCCACCAAATCCTCCACCTTCTCTTCACCAACAGCCCCGCCCAACTCATCAGGATTCCCACTCTCAGCAGGA